AATTTCACAATTTGTTTCAGAAATGTACAGATGTCAGCTGTAATGATTTTGCATGCCTGAAGCGCTGAAGAGGATAGGATTGATGGAACAGACTTAAAAATTATAGCTAATCTATATTGGAATCGATCAGCGGTACTCCGAATAGATGGAGAATATACAGATGAGGTCAAAATCTTAAGGGGAGTGAGACAGGGTGCATAATTTCACCACTGATATTCAATCTGTACTCGGAGCACATTTTTGAAGAGGCCCTAAAAGATATTGATGAAGGCATCTCAATAAATGGAGTCAAGCTTAATAACCTGCGGTATGCAGATGATACAATAGTGTTTTCCAATTCCATAGAAGAGCTGCAAAACTTAATGAGCAGAATAACGGAAACAAGTAGAACATATGGACTGGATATAAACACCAGCAAAACCAAGCTAATGATCATCAGCAAGCAAAACATAACTGGAGCAAATCTGTATGTGAACCAAATGAGAATTGAACGTGTCTCACAATACAATTACTTGGGAACTATAATAAATGAGTCGTGGGACAATACCCAAGAGATTAAATGTCGCATCGGAAAGGCCAAAAGTGCATTCTTGACTATGAGCTCTGTGTTCAAAAGCCATGACCTCACCTTGAAAACAAAAATAATGCTCCTTAAATGTTACGTGTACTCAGTGCTTCTGTATGGAGTAGAAACGTGGACATTGAAGGCGGAAACTCAATCAAAACTTCAGGCTTTTGAATTATGGTTATACAGAAGAATCCTGAAGATACCATGGACAGACAAAGTCACCAATGAAGAAGTACTGCGGAGGATGAACACAACCGCGGATTTGGTCAATATTGTGAAGAGCCGTAAGCTGGAGTACTTGGGACATATAATGAGAAATCAAGGCAGATACGCGCTACTCCAATGCATCGTGCAGGGTAAAATTGAAGGAAAAGAGCCCCAGGACAAAGAAGAATATCCTGGCTTGCTAACCTGAGAGCATGGTATAGAAAGACCTCAACACAGCTATTTCGTATAGCAACCAATAAAATCGCCCACATCACGACATCGCCCACATCACGGAAAATCTTCGAAAAATTATCAAAAACGACCACATCCGAATCGTCGCTCGTCTACCTAAATCCCAAAATCCACAACCCAATCCAAACAATTCGTCAATCTTTCACCTTGTCATAGCCGGCGTGGCAAAAACCCTTTCTCAAAAATTAATCGAGGATAACTTATCCGAAAATAATTTTCCATTCACCAAAGTAGTTCGAATAATCGCCCGCTCCACCAACCAACACACCTCCTACATCAGAGTATTCACCATCTCTGAAACAAAGTTCGCTGAAGCGCTCTCGAGCGGTATTTTGATCGAGGGTGAACGGTTGGCCTGTGAAATTCCACGATCAGGCAACTCCGTACCCATTCGGTCAAAGTAGTGCTCGAGATGCTGCAAAAGCGGACACTTCAACACAGAATGCCCCGAAAAATCAATAATTTGCCCGTTCTGCGGGCTCAGCCATCGGTCCTCTGCCTTCCCCACGATATCAGCTCCCAAATGTCCTAACTGTAGCGGTCCTCACCCTGCTTTCTCACCACGATGTCCTCACCGAAGCGCTCATCCCGCTAATTATAACCAAACCCAACCAGCATACACAGAGAAGCAAATTCCTTCCTATGACCTATCCTCCGATATGAAATCCCTAATACATTTCACATCCATGCTCCCATTCAACGTCTTCCCTGAAAAGAGAAGCGCAATAATCTTATTCCTCAACCAAATCTCAAATGAAATGTATGGATGTGCTATAGCCACTTCATGCACAAACAACCTCATCAATCAAACCTTCACCCACCTACACATCTAAAAAACACACCACACACATCATTACACATTCATACACACTCAAACTACATCACTTTACCTCCACTCCGCTCACAATCCTAATTAATAAACACCTAATCCTATACCACAATTAATAAACACATAATCCTAATCAGTAAACACACAAAAACACCACAAACATTCAACACATCACCTACACTGTGAGCACCGTCTACACTCCTTAAGAGTCGCTTAAACAATCACAAGGACAGGGGGAGATTGGTTTTCTGTGGGTTCCCAATCTCATTGCACAATGATACCTGATCCTAGGTGAGGATATAGCCACAGCTATCCTCCACGCGTTTTTCCAACAAACAAAAAATGGCCAACAATCTGAAAGGAATCGTTTTTTCCACGGAACTTGTACTTTGTGACAGGCTTGGTATACTTCTCTTCCGAAAGGTACGATTTCCGCCTCTTGCCTTCTTCTTGTGCTCGGTATCCTTCCCGTCCTCCTCCTCTCCCATACCCATTTTTAGCGGCGGAGCCCCTAGTCTTCGGAGTCCAACTGAAGTCATACGGACGAAAACTGGCATTTCAAACCAAACAAGCATTAGCATCCAAATAACCAGACACACCCTTAAAGAAGCATAGAGCTTTAAACAAGGTAAAAACGCAATTGATTGAACCAATAAAATCATCATAGCCAGAATGATCGCCAATGTGGCCAATAATATTAATAGCCTTCTCAACATTTGTGGTATATATTCCAGTTTTAAACTACTCTATGAATCTCATGGTATGCTATTTTATGAACTAAAGATCTTGTCTGCTGTCTGCTTTATAATTACAATTAATAAATACCCCATGAAACTATACATTTTGGTTAAACTTATTCTTTTTGTATTGTTTAAGGCCAAATCAGCCCTGGATATTGTGAAGCACTAGAAAAACAAACGGAAATTCCACTTTTACATGCGAAAGAAGTGTATGCACCAACATTACAGAATGCAAATGAAGTTTTCAGTGCCCCCAAATATAGAAAACCTCTGGAACCAAAAAAATATCGTCTGCTGGAAACTCCCTACTTGAATAATCTAAAAATTTTCCTGGAACAAGCTCTGGATAGACCAGTGTCGCAATTGAATCAACAAAGGCATTTAGTAACAATTAACATTGTCGAACAAATGATTTTACCATTTACTTTTGTTTTAGTTCTAGTAATAAATCTGTTCAGGTACTTTTATTTTCACAAATATTTGGGAAGGTACTTGGTTTCCAATACCTTGTTTATTGTACCTTGTAATGTAATCTTGCCACTGCTCCCAATGATTTTTCCGTTGTTCTGGAACCTTACCAATTATATTGGAACCGCAAGGTTAGTTTTTTCGTCTTTAATAAAGTTTGTTGGGTTAGATAATTATATTTTATTGTTTTATTTATAGAATAAAGACATTTTTTGATGCTACAACTAGATGTGACAAAAAAATCAATCATTTAGAAGAAGATGCCGATGGATCACCAATATATGATAAGAAACTAAAAATAAGTAGACGTGAGGTACTGTCGAACTTTTGGAAAATTTTACGAGGAAAACCTGAAATTTTAACGCGATCCACAAATCTTCTACATGTCCTAGGATCAGTTACAGTAAGCAAGTGCTTGATATAGTAGTCAAAAAACTTTTTTAAGTTGGTAGTATAAATTTTTAGATAATTTACTTTTTATTTCGAGTTTTATTAGCCTTAAATTTACTTATCTCATAAATTTTCGCTTGATTTTTTTCTCATTGTTTCCCTTTAATTTTCCGTATTTCTTTTGTCATTTCATTATCATTAAATTAGATTACTTTATGCTTGCTTAAATTTGTAAAATATGATGTATGAAAGAATTTCAAAAGCAATAAAAATATTTCATATATGAGCCGTTGGAAGCCAGAGTGGTACAAGTCACTCCGAGCATATTGTGAGATACAAAGCCTTAAAGTTTAGATGAAACTGAAAAATCCTGAGAAGTGTTATTATAATTTTTTTGTTAAATATAGTTTATAAACATGTTAACTTAGATATTGGTGTAAAATTAGCATTATAATTTTAATTTTTTCTTTTTGTTTTTTAATAATTTGTGATTGACAACTTTACTTCTCAACACTAATAAAACTAATAAAACAAACTAGAGTTTAAAACAATATTTTATTAGCAAAAAAAAATAAAATTATATACGTTCTTTTTCTTCTAAGGGTCCAATATCTTCAATGGACGGGTCTTCCAAAATATTCTTAAAATATTCCTGTTGAAAGGGTGGTATGAACTGGAGTAGATCGACCATATCCTTTTTTTATTGGCGCTAATTTTAAGTGGAGCAGGGTACAGTGGTGTAAGTTCCATATTTTTCATTAGTTTAGGGGCACCTTTTTTATTTTGTGGAAAAATGCTGATTGTTTCAAAACTGAAGTCTTCATTCAAAGTGGTCTTATAAAATATTTTGTACGGTTGATCTTTCTCAAAATGCAGCCACTGGATGTTCAACCAAGATACTGTACAATCATTTACAGGAGTTTTCCACCGCTATGGAAAGAATGTCTTCCTTTTTCATTTCGTACACCAAAAAATGATTTTTTGTCCTACATTTTCTTATTGTTGTATACCAGTCTTCAGGTGTATATTTTAAGCGATTTTTGGCATACGGTTATAGCATATGGTTCAATTTGACCGAAATCTCGATCATTTGGTAAAAATGAATGGCCCGACACCATAAACTTATGATCTAATACTTCAATATCTGTATCTGCCATTAATTTTAACCAGAACAAACACATTTACAAATTTACAAAAGTAACATGGAGTTACAATAAATATTCATTCACTGAACTAAAATACACTCAGGAACGCCACTGAGAATAAAACAAAATAGTGTTTTGTGCTGGTTCCGAAAAAAACATACATTGATAACAAACAGTGTTACATTATATTCTAAAATTGTTGATTACGTCATTACGCCGACACTGATGACGTAATGTCAAACACAAATATAGCAGTTGATGGCCATCCAAAAATTAAAATTGACGTGTTTTAATACTTTTTTTAAAATCCTTTGTTTCTAAAATATCGAATTTATTCCATACATTTGCATCATACTGTATATCTACAAGTAGTATCAAAGACAATGCCGGAACAGACGTAGATGTATACGCGGACGGCGAATTGTACTAACAGACTGTTGGGTGGTAATTAGGACGGATAGCTAACGAATATGTGAACCTGCATAGTTGGAATAATTAAAACATTTAATAAAAGTGTTTGCAGGGAACGGGCCCAAGAGATACGAAGCGATATATACGCCCAGAAAGACTCAACTATTATGTAACAATAAAACACTGAAAACTTTGTTTTCAAACTTCCACAAAATTTATTTTAAATATTATCCCTACAGCTGTTTCGGCTGATTGCCTTTCTCAAGTGATCTATTTTGGCTTGGGTTTACAAATTTATAGTCTCTAATGAAATAGGTTGAGGAGGGGAGAACTGTTTGTCTCAAGTTGGTCATTCAGAATTATATCTGTATTTTTTAATTTGTTGATTTCCATAGATTCTAACAAAGATAGCTTAAGGCCTTTATTTTGAATGTGAAGAATTTTAAATTTGTCATTAAAAGAATGATTATGATCTAGAAGGTGAAGTGCGTTTGTCGAATCTGTTTTTCTATTCTTGAAAGCCCTTTTATGTTCTGCTATTCGTTTATCAAAGTTTCTACCAGTTTGACCGATGTAAGTTTTTGGGCAGTCGCCACATTGAAGTTTGTACACACCACTATTTAAATGTTTTTTTATTTTGGCTCTTGTTATTTTTAATATATTTGCCTAGGTTGTTATTTGTTCGGAAAGCTGGTGGTATTCCTTTCATTTTTATGTCAATCATAACAGAACAAAGTCAATCCATAAATTTTTTAGATTTAAAAATTAGCAGACTTCAAAACAAACATGACTTCTCCATATTTCATAAACCTACCCATACTGACACGACTATACACAATTCGTCATCCCATCCAACACAACATAAACTGGCAGCTTATCATAGTATGTTACATAGATTAACAGAAATTCCGATGTCAAAATACAACTTTGAGACAGAATTAAATATAATTAAGCAGATAGCAGTAAACAACGGATACAACGAACAAATAATTAATAAAATGTTAAATCAAAAACTATACAAGAAAGCCCTGAAATTAGTATTTCCACCACCAGAGAAAAAACCCAGTACCTTCTGCTCGATTACATATACAGGCAAAATAACAACAAAAATTGCCAAACACATAAAAAAGAAAGGAATAACACCAGCTTTCCGAACAAATAACAACCTAGGCAAATATATTAAAAATAACAAGAACCAAAATAAAAAACATTTAAATAGTGGTGTGTACAAACTTCAATGTGGCGACTGCCCAAAAACTTACATCGGTCAAACTGGTAGAAACTTTGATAAACGAATAGCAGAACATAAAAGGGCTTTCAAGAATAGAAAAACAGATTCGACATACGCACTTCACCTTCTAGATCATAATCATTCTTTTAATGACAAATTTAAAATTCTTCACATTCAAAATAAAGGCCTTAAGCTGTCTATGTTAGAATCTATGGAAATCAACAAATTAAAAAACACAGATATAATTCTGAATGACCAACTTGAGACAAACAGTTCTCCCCTCCTCAACCTATTTCATTAGAGACTATAAATTTGTAAACCCAAGCCAAAATAGATCACTTGAGAAAGGCAATCAGCCGAAACAGCTGTAGGGATAATATTTAAAATAAATTTTGTGGAAGTTTGAAAACAAAGTTTTCAGTGTTTTATTGTTACATAAAATGAATTTCCATCAAGTAACGGTCGAATCCATCAATTATTTTATTAATTACTTGTAAAAATGAATATAAATCAAAGAAAATACATGACATCCTTCAAAAAATTAAAACGAATAATTGAATTGGTGATTATTGAAAGGAACTAACTCCACACAACTAAAATGTTGGGAAATTAAAAAAAACTGTTTATAAACTACACTAGTAATTTTAGCAAAACAACGTTATGGTAGATTGAAAGCAACAAGTTTTATTTGAAAAAAATTGCGTTGGAATTAGTTCCTTCTAAAACTAATTGCTTGTATGTAAAAATAAATGAAACAAATTATTAGTTTCAAGTCAGATTTATCAATACTAAATTATTACATTGTCATTATTTAAACTAATCGTTTTCTTCCATAGTAGTAGGCCATGTAAGGTAAGCTTCATAAAAGTGCTTATATTCTTCATTGTCTTCGGGAATATAAACTAATAACTTTCTGACAGCGTCAACTTTATGTTTATTGATTAGCACTTTTCCCTCAGGGTAAGCAATACACAAAGCATCAAATAGGTTTAATGGCCTCAGTCTAATTCCTGGTTGTTTTAAATTAAGTGTGTGCTTAAATAAGCTCCCTATAAACTCTGATGTCTGCAAGTGACCATTTTGTAAATACTTTAACTCCATGAACGAGGCTGGTGCAAAAGTTTGCTTTTGTTGACGGGGAACGTTTCTGCCATACGATTCCAGAGATAACACCTTTTAAATAATTAAAAAAATAACATTTTTTGTACAGCGCTGGCACCATTTATTAAAGTCCTTGATATCTTCCGTACGAATAACTTTTACTGTTATGTTTGATTTTGCGTTGGCGAATAACTCTTCTTAGAATAATTCTTGGGAAAATTTTCAGTACATGACTCATCAGACTGAAGTGCGATGATCGCTACAGTGTTGGGTATTTATTTTTTTCGCTATCATTACAATTGTTGACAGTAGCCAGTCTGTTGGTATATGTCCTGTTTCGTATATTTTATTGAAGAGGCTTAGAAGAGAATGTTTACCCTTATCGTCGAGTAGTTTGATTATTTCGCATGGAATTTCATCTGGACCGGTTGCTCTTGACCAGTCGATATATTTTCGATTTGAATTTATGTTCTATCGTCATCAAACAGCTCCTCAATATATTCTTTCCATCTCTCTAATCTGTCTTGCTCATCGACTATATTATTTCTGTTCTTATCAAGTAAACTACTTGCAGTTGTTTTAGTATTCCACTTATTTCTTTCACTTTTTGGTACGTATTAAACATGTCATTCTTTTTCTGCAGTTCTTCTATTTCAAGACAGTTTGCTGTATTATTTTTCTTTTGGATCCCGAATTTTCCTTCTGATTTATTTATGGATTTTATTGTATTCTTCAGTGTTTTTATTTTTCTGTTTTCGTCTGCTTTCCATTAGTCCCAATTATTTCGAATACAGTTAGTGTTTAGTCAGTTGTTGGCATTTTACTTTTTTAAGTTTGAACTTTATGTCACTGATTAATAAGTTATGACCTGAAGGGACATCGGTTGCAGGTACTGCTTCAGTTATTTTGATTGAATTTTGGTATTGAATTGTTGTATAATCGATCTAATTTCTTATGATCTTCTCTTGAGTATCTGCGGGTGACTTCCAAGTATATAAACGACTCTTGGGTAGTTTGAAGATTGTATTTGTCAGACATAGATTTTTCTCTACGCAGAACTCTACAAAACGGTCTCCCCTGTCATTACGTTGTCGAAGTCCAAAATTCCATACAATGTTTTCTTGTCTACCTTTTCCTACTTTGGCATTGAAGTCCCCCATTATTATTGTAATGTCTTTGATTTTCAGCTGACTCATTACCTTTTTTATATCATCATAAAAATTATCTATGGCATATTCACTACTGCTGGATGTGGGCGCATAAACTTGGACCAGATTTATATCTACTGGTGTTGAGATTAATTGTATCACGATGACTCTGTCCGAAATGTAACTTACAGATTTAATACAGCAACAGACTTATTTATGTACAATGTATGCGACGCCATCCCGGTGGTTAGTGCCTTCTTCTCCGGAATAGAATACATCGTGGTGGTCTATGCTACATTTACCAGTCCCCGGCCACCGCATTTCGCTTATCCTAAGAACTGGTATATTGAACCTTATCATCTCACATATGGTTTTTTGTATATTACCGGGCTCTTAGAGACTTCCCACATTCCATGTGCCTATTCTGATACTGATTTTATTCTTATTTCTTTTCCATTATCTCAGGTATTTCGCTGGATAACGGTCTGGGAAGCCCTGTGTGCTTGTCTTCTCCTGTCGGATCTTGGTGTCCGAGGACCATGATGAGTATTCCTATTCTTATCATATGATAGTGGCATTATGATTGAACTAGGGAATAATAATGGGGTGGTTTCCCGTTGCCTTCCCCATCGCAGTATCACAACCATTTAAACTACTCCAGTCATGCTTGTGATAGTCCAGTTTCAAGCCGATCCAGGCTTATTTCCTCTGCGCCTTGAGCTGCTACTGATGGTGGCTGCTCCCTTCATCACATATAGTGATATATACTTCCGCCATCCACACCGTACCGAAGGAATTCTTCTCCGCCGTGGCTGCCGTTGTGGACTTCATTTGTGACACTGGTTAAGGGACCCTAAGCAAGTACTAGTTTCCCGGGTCGGGAAACACCTGGAATCTGCGGAGGGCAGGGATTGATTCATTTTTCCTGATAGGACTATCCAGAGTTCCTACCCGCTACCTCAATTTAGATCACACAAACACTTATACATAATATTAGCTTTCCTTTTTAATTTTGCTTTTTTAGTGTTAGCGTTTAGTAGTGTTTAGTGTTAGGTTGTTATTATTCTTATATAGACTATTTGTTTTAGGCCTTAGGATGTATCGATAAGAAGGGTATTTTGTCTTGGCCTAATCCAACTGCAGAAAAAATATTTTTCTTGCACAATCAGCACCACGATTCACATTCATCAAGGTACCTAAGTGTTTTTTCAATATAAAAAAGAATTAAAAAAATATATTCGCCCATTTTTGTTTTTTATTTAAAAGCTAACGATTTTTGAAAAGTATGAATAAGTTAGTTTTATATTTGATGTATTATCACAGTTTTTCTAAATCTTATTGCAGTTTGGACAATGTGAATGACATATCCAGCGATATAGACTCGATGTTTCCCAATTTTCAGCCGGAAAGTCCCAGTGCTGTGACTGAAGTATTAGATCTCACCCACCGGCACAATGATCCCTTCAAGCTACACTTCGACGACCAAGAATGGAATCGATATTTGTCCAATCTCAAGCCTCTGGGTCTGGCGATACTACTAAACACATGCAATATCGATACTAAGGTAAAAATTTCGTCAGTGTTTTTATTACGTCTCAATTATTTCAATTTCAGGAACATTACAATACGTTTTGTTCGCACATAACTTGTGAAGCAATGTATAACGAAAACTTGGTACCGGTTACTAACAGAAGGTGTTTATGTGAGCTGGCTAATGAGATAGGATTCGTAGATCAAGCGCAAAAGATATTTACGCTACAAGAACAACTTTCAAGCTTTAGGCATTTGGTAAGAAATATTTTTTGCATCTATTGAAAGTTTTGGTATCTTGATATTTTTATTTTAAGCAAACAGAAATGATGAGGAGGGACAATAAGTATGCTCGATCTCTTCAACTGTCCACGAAGCTGAAGTTTCCTTTCCCTCACATGTTTGCCGTAATAGTTCAAGAATTGTCTACTGGAAACATGCAGTTACTGTCGGAAGGCACGGCGGATATCATTTTAGATTCTTGTGTAGAGTACTGGGATGGCAGAGATCTCATTCCGCTGTCGAATACTGATAGAAAGAGAATACAAGACTTTTACCAGAGAAGTAGTCTGACTGCCTACTGTACAGCATTTGCTTACAGGTATTAAAAAAATCATAACACTTTGATTATATAATAAATCTTATACACAAAAGACATTTTTAACTTCTCATAATTTTAATATATTTTAGGCCCCTTGCCAAAAATATTCATAACAAACTAAGTGAGGTATATTTAGAGCTTCCCAGTGACTCGAAACATTTATATTTGAGTCAGAGAAGCCCCACTCCAGTCCATTGGGACATTAAAAGTGTTCTGGAACCAAAAACTAAATCTTCTCAATTCTATAGTGCAGGTAACAACCTATTTTGATTTATTTGTGTCGATTTAGTATAAATTTACGTAAAGTTTACAAATGACAATGTCTCTATTTCCATTGCTAGACTTACAATAGTCCTTTTTAAACTGATCTGAAGCATTTCGTATGTTTTTGTTTTTTTTTACAGTCTAGTGACGGATTCCCATTTTTATTAACATCCTCTTTACGTGTCCCAACTATGTAAACTATCTTTTCTCAAGCTCCTCGCCTATATTACGATCTAGTTTCATTTCATGTCGTATCTACTCTTTTCTGACCCTTTCTAGTTTTTGATTTACTGTGTACTGTTACTGTTACTTAGTGCAGGGTGCACGTGTAGAACACTTTGAAGGCATAAGCAGGGCAAAATGTCAAATCCTGCACAGACTTTTAAAAGACAACGAAGTTGACCTAGTAGCACTTCAGGAAACGCACACAGAAAACGAAGGTCAACTAAGCTCAAGAGGAAAAATCCCCGGCTATGATCTTTTGGGCGCTACCTACGATAGAGCTTACGGAGTGGCAACATATGTCCGTTTAAACATAGAAAATGCAGCATTAATCGCCACTTCTACCGAGAACAACATCCACGAGGTAACTGTGAAAATAGGCAATGTCATAATAGCTAACATATACAAACCTCCTAGGCTATTACCTGGCCTGTCCAAGTTCTTAATTCCTATGAACATCCAGCCATATACGTAGGGGATTTCAACAGCCACCATGAGATGTGGAAATACTCAGACACTGACAGAAATGGCACATCCCTTGTGGAATGGGCAGAGGAACATGGTGCCCACCTTCTATTCGACGCCAAAGATAGAGGCACTTTCAGATCTGCGGCCTGGAGGGGAGAATATAACCCTGATCTCTGTTTTGTTACCATTGACAACAAAGACCAACCGCTAGCAGCATCACGAAGGGTTATGCCTGACTTTTCACATAGTCAACATTGCCCCGTCCTAATCAAGATCGGTATCAGCATTCCGATTATAAGATCGTTCCCACGCCCCAGATGGAACTTCAAGAAAGCTAACTGGTCTGCTTCAACCAGTAACCTTGACAAATGCCTAGGATGGATTCCACCAAAGAGCCAGAACTACGGGAGACTAACAGGAGCAATAATCACCTTAGCAAAAGCGACAATCCCTAGAGGATACCGCAAAGAATATATCCCTGGTTGGACAGAACAGAGCGAAAAACTGTATGAATAATATTGCGAAGATGGAAAGCAGGAGATTGCAGACGAACTACTCCACAGCATTGATGCTGCCAGGCGTGAAAAATGGACACAGACAGTAGAAAACCTAGATTTCCAAAAGTCAAGTCGACAAGCTTGGTCCCTACTGCTGAAACTCGGAAGTAGCAACACACCCGTTCGCCAAACCAGCCTAGTAACTCCAGACCAAATAGTTACGCACATAGTGTCAACCTCTAGGGCACCTCAAAATCGTTTACATACAATTAAAGTTAAAAAAGACCTCAAAACCATAAAATCTAGTCTTATACACTCAACAGAATTTTCCAACCCATTTACGCATGAAGAAATATCGCAAGCCCTAAATGAAATGAAAACAGCAAAAGCGCCGGGTTTCGACGCCATTCACGCTGAGTTCCTCAAACATAGCGGCAGATTCACTAGGCAATGGCTCGCAGAATTCTTTTCTGACATCCTTCAAACGGGAAACGTCCCACACCAACTCAAAAATGCAAAAATCGTCGCCATTTTAAAACCAGGGAAAAGTAATAATTCAGCGAAAAACTACCGCTCCATCGCACTCTTAAGTATGGTGTACAAATTGTTCGAAAGACTGTTGTATAATAGAATCACCAAAACCATATTCCAACACTTACCAGTGGAACAGGCAGGATTTCGGCCAAACCGCAACTGCACAGACCAGGTACTCGCCCTGACCAATTATGTGGAATCAAACTTTCAAAAGCAATTAAAAACAACCGCTGTCTTAATCGATCTATCTGCTGCTTACGACATTGTGTGGCGACAAAGGGCAATATATAAATTAATGCGAATAATCCCATGCAGAAAGACCACTGATGTTATTAACGCCATGCTATCCAACAGATGCTTTAAAGTTATATTGGGAGACAAGACTAGTACCCAAAGAAAACTGAATAATGGACTTCCACAAGGATCCGTGCTGGCTCCCATGCTTTTCAGCCTCTACATAGCAGACATGCCAGAAACCACATCAAAAAAGTTTGGATACGCAGACGACTGGACGCTTGCCGCAAGTCATAAAGAATTCGAGGTCACTGAACGCATTCTAACAAACGATTTAAATCCCCTATGGAATTATTTCCGCAAATGGAGATTGCAACCCAATCCAACTAAGACAGAAGTATCCTGCTTCCATTTGTACAACAAGATGGCCAACTATCAACCTCAAATCCATTTTGGGGATAGACTCCTTAAATATAATAAACACCCAAAATACTTAGGTGTTACACTTGATAGAACGCTGAACTTTAAAGAGCATCTTACTAAGACTGCTGCAAAACTCCAAACTCGTAACAATATCCTGCTAAAGCTCTGCGGCACTACATGGGGCTCTTCAGCACCCACACTTAGATCGACAGCATTAGGACTGGTATACCCCGTAGCGGAATACTGTGCACCAGTATGGATAAACAGTCCACATACTCACCGTGTTGATGTCCAACTCAACCAAGCCCTGCGAACTATATCGGGCACAATCAAGGCCACGCCCACTTACTGGTTACCAGCTTTGAGTCATATAGCTCCACCACCCATCCGCCGGGAACATGCCCTTGTCATAGAATTCACAAAAATCAATACTGATCCTGAGCTCCGCTCCCATGTCGGAACTTCCGCCAGAGACATAAATAGGCTCCGTTCAAGACACCCGCCTCTAAAAACAGCAAAAAGGCTAGTAGATCAAAACTTTAATGAACTGAACGGTGGGGAGAACAATGGGAGAATAACGCTGCACCAGCTACATAATACATGGAACATGCCATGTATTACGAGCAAACCTGAGGGCTTCAACCAACTGAGACGAATTTGGACCACACTCAATAGAATAAGGACGAACTGTGGCAGATGTTCCGACTCACTTTTTAGATGGGGAAAAATACAATCACCAAATTGCGACTGCGGAGCCGAAAGGCAAACAGTAAAACACATGGTAGAGGAATTCCCGATTAGATCCTATAATGGCAACCCTTCAGATTTCCTGGGTACTACAAAAGAGTCAATCGAATATATTTATAATCTAGATGTTTCTTTGTAGAATAATATTTTTGTATTTACTGTTGTTTGTAATTTATATTATATGTATATATATATATATATATATATATATATATATATATATATATATATATATATATATATATATATATATATATATATATATATGAACTTGTGATGTAGCCATACGCTGAATAAATAAATAAATTAGAAACCATCGCACGTCACGGAAAATGCTTCTACAATTAAATTTTTCGGCATATTTCAAATGTCTCACATTTGTTACTAATACTCAAAACTGCTCTTTTAACTGTTCGTTACAGTAATGGAACAACGTTGCCATATGTTGCATCGTTAAAATATGATACAAACAAGTCCCCTGGCTTTGTCTCACCTTGACGAAATGCACAAAGTCGATCAAAATTAGAACGGCAAGTGAGCATATCTTGTTTGTTACAGTATCATGGGTTCAGTGGCATTTTCGTCTGTGACAACTGGGGTATACACTCTTAAATATAGGAAGATGAAAAATAATTTTTTTTTGTCGTAGATTCACTTTTATTCAACGACTGTCAGACTGATAACGTAAGCGATGCAGAGAGCTGTTTTCAGGTGCAGTGTAATCAAATATTTATTGGTATGATAACGATGCAGTACCAAGCCCTGATTGATATGGTAAGTTATAAGATGTTTATTTACTATAAAACAATTATCGTGTATATCTTTAATTTTAATCTTGCAGGTTCATCTTATAGAACAATTGGAACGAGCTTGCATCCGATTCGTTCATTTTAGCAAAGAAAATGAACTGAGATCGCGCGTTTTTAGTGAAAAAATGGGTCTTGAAAGCGGTTGGAATTGTCATATTTCTCTTCTTAGCGAAAGAAATAGGTAAATTTGTCAAGATCTGTAGTTTTCAACTTGCTGTATTGTCTGCAATTATCAGTGTTTGTTTTTTTTTTGTTCTTCAGTGTATCAACAACATTTATTGTTTTTGTTATGTATTCTCTCCACAATGCTAAATTATTAACCCTATTATAGTTTTGTTTGTTAAACGTTTTAAAACTGCAACCCCGTACATTTTTTATATAGGTAGAGTCGTTCAATGATATCATCTAAATCGATTATCAGTAGTAATATCCCTAGGACATTGGTAACAGACGAGATAATTTCATGACAATCGAAAGCTCGTTCCTTGGTAACAAACAACCTTGGCTCGTTACCAAGCAACGAGCTTGAGAAATTTGTCATGAAATTATGAGGCATTTATCAATGTCCGAGGGATATTCGGCGGATAATTTTTCGAAAAAAAAAATCATAACTCAACATAACGAAACATTTATTTATTCAAAGTACAGTTAGTGAAAGTACAATTATTAAAATTTAAGTTAACATTAGATTCGTTGCTGTTCTCTACTATAGAAGATCTATCATATTCTCGTCCGCAGCAAAATTCCATGAATATTCCTCAAATATATTTGTGACTGTAGGTTGTATTTCTGGGAATTTTTTCTTTGATTAGCGCATTTATACTTTGGAACATTCTCATTGCCGAAACGTGACATTTTGAAATTTATTTGGATGAAGTTGTCAAACTCGATTGTGTTGTCATAGGGATTGAAAATTGCACTAAATGCAATTATCAGTCTAATGTTGACATGATTGGGTGAAATTGTTCCACATGACACAAAATGACGAAATTTGAATGGTTGTTAGAACAGTCGAAAAATTATCAACAAAATGGGGATTTACTTTTATGTTTGAAAAACTACTATTTTTGTGTCATGTGTAACACAGATATTTTTTTAATGGGATCAATGCGCAATTTATTGAAACATTGTTTAAATTTGTTTTTAAAAAATTCGGAGAAACGAAGATTTTTCACAATATTTATGTCAAAATTTTTTTAAAACGATTTCCGCGTTGGTAAACCAAACACACCAAATAATGTTAAACATGTTATTATAAACAGTAATTTGTCTAAAGATATTCGTGGAATTTGTTTGTGACGGTACATAATTTGAAACACAAATACTGCCATTCTAATATTTTACATCGGTCCAATCTTTTGTATTTATACATACTGATTTGTTCATTATAATCAGTATATACACATATATATATATATATATATATATATATATATATATATATATATATATATTTACTAAAACATATTCAGCAGTGTAAACATCAAAAAGTTGTGTTTCTCACAACACCCCTTTTAAAATTTAAAAGTCAATCTCCGATTCTTTAACAATACACATAAGAATTTGTATATTTTTTGGTTATAGAATAGAGATTCACTCATGGTTGTTGTTTATGCTGCTCTTTTCAATATTTGTGAGAAAGTGTTTGTTATAAATGAGTTAAATTTCAAACTCTTCCATGAACAATTATTTTATCACAAGAAATCATTGAATATTATCTTGCTCTACATAGTTACAACTTTACATCGTTGTTCATTTGTACTAGTTGTAAAAGGGTTGTAGAAATTATGAAAACGCTGAAAAGGTATGTTTTTTTTTCATATACTAATAAAAGCATTTTTAACTTTATTGCTTATAAGATGGATAGCATTTTTTATAATAATTTACGTACCTTTTGCAAAATTTAAATCATACATGCCAATTGCGCAAACGTCAAATTTTGAGGTTTGCAGTCAGAAAAATAGTGTCTATAAACTCATTTATAATAAATTTTTTATGTGTTCTAACATACGCATGTACTTTTTCAATAACTAATTCTTATGTTGCTATCTAAAGATTACTTTTTGTAATATGTATCAGAACAAAAGTAGAAAAAAGAATCCAAATTAGTCACTAGTCTTTTTCTGTGGCTTGCTGATTTCTTGTTACAAACTAATCTTATAATCAGCCGTTTGTATGGGACATACAGATTGAATGGATTTAAAACGGATCATACAATTTAATATATGTCTGTTTGAACTGCATTTGAAATAGTGGACCAATATAAAACTTGGACAAAAGTAAATCCATACCCGGTGTTAGACATTGTATAAAATATCGTTCAACTATCCGTCTCCTTTTAGAACCCACCATAGTCTAGAGCGCAGCTCAAAGTCAATGTTGCCAATCGCCGTGTAATAATCCGATTTCCGAATCTTTTTGAGAGTTATATCTTCTTCGTATCTTTAAATAAATCGGATATTTGCCTATATTTTTCATTGTATTTACCAATCTACTACAACAGACTAATAACAAAAATAAAATTAATGGTTTGTAGTTATTTCAGAAGTTTGTAGTTATTTTAGAAACATCTAGTGGCACCATGATATTGGCAACACCGCTCAAAATCTCCGTCTCCGGTAAACGAAAGAGGGGCTTGCCTATAGGCGGCCACTCACGATACAGCGGCGTTGTTAAACTTTGTTTTTAACTAAACACTTGCTTTGATCATATTATACAAAATCGAAATGGCTTGATTTAGCGAGAATTTTTTAAGAGAGTTTTTTAAATTATATAAAAAACAAGAATGCTTATAGCGAATAAAAGGTAAAACGTATCAGGATAGAAACACCCGAAAACAGGCAATGGACATTCTAGTTTTAAAGTTCCAAGAAGTAAACAAAGATGCGAATAAATAGTATGTAAGAAAAAAAAATTAACAATTTTAGAACATCCTATAAAAGAGAATTAAAATTAACAGTGCAGTCCAGTAAATCGGGTGCAGGGCCAGACGAGATTTATTTTGCACCAAAATCTTGGATTTTTTACACCAGAATCTACGTTTTATTTTAGGTTTCTTTTTACGCTTAATTACACACAAAGTAAGAGACGCTAAAATGATTGTTTGATTTAACATGGTCGAGAACCGAACAAATGCGGCGCAGTGTGGTGTGTGGGCGCACCAGATATACCAACAAATTGAACAACGCCTCTGTCCGATTATGTCGAACGACACCGCTGTACCGTGAGTGGCCGGCTTTAGGAAGCGATAGGTGGTTTGACCACCTATGAATGAGTTCTTGAATTAGTTCAGAATCCAGCAGCCCGCTGAAGTATTGGATTTTTATAATATAATTATTTGACAACCTTTTGTTGGCCAACCACCTACAGCAGAATTGAGCCGAAATACATAATATTTCGTAGGTTCCGAATTTATTTCGTTCAATCTGTATGTTTATATGTTTTACAGACTTTTATGAGATTATGTTATGATGCCTTTTAGTATGAATGGAAATAAGTACAATTTTTAAAACAATGTATTGAATAAACCAAAATTCGTTAAATAATGTGTAGGATTTTCTACTCTATTTTTTTCTGATACTATTACTACCAAATGCAAGTAAAAAAAACAAAAGTTTCTTTAAAGGTAGCACGATCTGTTACTAACTCTCCTCTTCTTCTATTATATGTTTTCTGTGTTCGGTGTTGTCTGCGCTTCGCCAGAGGGGAGAATTGCGGACAGACAGATGCTAGCGCTAGTCCTCCCCAACAGAGCAACAGATTAGTATTGCAGAACGTTGTTAAAAGAACTCAGCAATCGCCATGCGTTGATGTCAAGTCAATATTGATTGATAGGTATTCAATGCGCACGAACTAGGCTTGATTTGACACGTTTAGAATAGTAGCAACACAGTTTTTCTTTAGTTGGTTCATTTGTAAATACAACTTTGGACTAGAAGGACTACAATTTTTATTTTTTCCCTTAAGACTCACAAAATAAGTGTCAAACCATAACGACGTTTTGTAGGGTTTCTTCTAATATATTCGAGTTTTCATTATTTCTATCATTTCTTTCTTATATTTGCTTCTTGATCTTTTACTTTGTCCTGTTTTTCTGTTTCATTCATTGATTAATTTCTTATTGTGCGTAATAATTTTTATATAAGTTTTTTGCACATGAACAACTTAAAAAAATGTTTTTCTTTAAATACCTAATTACCGTATAACTTCGATTCACCGTCTTTAGCCTCTGGGTGGCTAATGGCTAACAGATTGTTTTCTATTATTAACTTAACACTTTTTATCACTAGCTTCATGTTTTTCTTCCATGGCATTTAAATTGGTAAAAATGTCATTTACAATTTTAAACCCACCTTCCTATTTATCACATTCTACCACACTTTTATTCTTTTCCGTCAAATTTGTACTGCATGGTAGATAATTACGATTTTGCATCATCAAATGAAAACAAAATTTCACTAAAATATTTTCTATGTCGATGTGCCTTGTTTTCACTTATGTCTTGGACCATAGGCTATATGAGTGAAGTTATAAAGAAATATAATTTTCCTGTCGTCACTTTTCATCTTAAAATTGGAGTGAGTTGGTGCATTATCCATTATTATCCAGTCTTATCACAATATTTTCAGGGCAATGTACCATTTTTACAAACCACTACCGTTATTGGATCTTTTTGTTCAAATTTAACTACCAATAACTGGACAGATTGTCCAATAAATGATCCATTCCATCGTCTTTCACCATGATTCTGGAATAAAAGTAATCAGATATATTTTTTATTTTTTGTTTTTGCATACTGACGGTTAAAAGATAGAAGGTTAATCGAAGTTGTACTGTAGTGGCTTGTTGTCTTAGTTAAGGTCGGTTCGCTATATTTACGCGGGTTTCGGATTAAAAATTTTATTGTAAGTACCCAGTTTTAATTACCTGCTCTTTGGGGAAATATCAACTGGTCAAATGAAATGAAAAATAATCCATAACTTTTTTTAATTAAATAAAATGGAAAATCTTTTATATAATTGACAGTATAATAAGGAGAATTACTTCATTAATGGAGTCGAATGTGGCTAATATAAACCTAATAATAATTTTATATTACACTTCACACAGAAAATGTGGTCTATGTATATTTGTTCCATGGAGAGAATTTCTAATGAAAAATAAAAAAAATTTAACTTGCCA